AATAATATTTATTATTTTGCATGCCTAACTATTTAGAATACGACATTTAATTTTGTGTATATAATATAAACATAACTATAATATTTTATTAACTAGAAAGATCCGTAACTTAAATAAAAAATAAATGATTATTATAATACATACATGAAATAGGTATAAAAATTCGAAATTTTTTAATTGCTCCTTCCTCTTTGAATTAATATATTCCATGAAAGACAATTAATTACTCACTGATTTATAAATATTTGCACTAACATTCGTCAATCATAATTGCATTTAAAAGGAAATGTGAAAACGTTTTCTCTGTTAAAATTCAAGTCACGTAAAACTAGAGTGGTGAAACAAGTGAGCCAGATACATCGATGAACCTACGCACCCTACAGGATCTATCTGTGCATTACATGTAATACCTTTAAATGCATAATCTAAACCATTATATTATTTTCACTTTATTTAAATAAAATACAATTGTAGATATTAACACCATAAAAATATAAAAAATAAGCGTTTACTACGCATAACATATTAAATTACTTATTTTTGTTGAGAATACTTACATGAATATGTTGAAACTTTCCTGCATTTATTTCAGTAAATAATGAAATTTTTAAATAATTATTTATTTATAAATAGTTCTTCATGCTTCGTCACTTACTAGATAGGTAAAAAGAAATAGTCAAAAATAAATAAGCATAATTAAGTCCGCCTTTTGTATCAGACTTTTTCTGTAATATGATCAATAAAGAATAAATAAATAATTCCAAATAGATTTAATTGAAATTTATTAAATTTTACATTCTGTGTGTTCAATTCTGTTACTGATTATTGTTACCGAAATTAGGTGTTCCACGAAATTGCTAATATCTCCTATTTCTTCGAATCACAACCTCAATTGAAACTATTTGTCAACCATTCACTTTGTAGTTATTGCCACCTGTAATAAAACGTAGCACCGATCTTAATAAAATACTTGAGCTCGCTAAAATTCAAAGCTACCAGGAATTTTTAGGTATTTTTTATTAAATTTAAAATTTACCCCGAATTTTTTGGAATTTTTTGCCTTTGTGTTATTTTTATATAAATTCTAAGGCAAAATAAAAAAGAAATAAAAATACTTTTGAGTTATGCGGTTTTTTTTTTTGGGAATAATATCCCAAAAAAAAACCGCATATGTATAATATGGAAACAGTAAGAAGCTATAAACAGTATGAAAAAACCTTAGTAAGATAAATCTTTATTGAGTTCCGCATTAATTTTATTTATTTTAACGTGGTTATAAGATTGTTTTTATAAAAAAAAAAAAAAAAAACCTTAAATTCTTATAAACATATTGCTTATCTAGTACTCAATATAAGATTTCAGGTAATGAGTAATTAGAGAACCAACCAAAAATAAACTTATAAATAGAGCTATTGTTTAAATAACCTCGTTTACGTATATCGATGTCTTACTCCGCCATAAAAAACAACAAACGCTTGATGGAGAATATAGAGTAAAAAAGCCAATAACATATATCTATGAATAACGAAATGTATCGTAAATTTAAGATATATTAAATTTATAATGCGGATTCGTGTTATAAGTAATATATTTTGCTCTGCAACGACCAGGTTTTTGCTCCACAAAAAGTTAAAATATAATAACATATCCATCCATACATCTAATGTATTTCCCCAATAGCTCATACCTTATTTAGATGTAACAGGTGACATCGCTGTGTTTAGAGTATTTTCCTAAGCATTTGACGTGATTTTGGAATTCGTGTCACGTAAACGGCGCCTACCACGATCCAAGCAAACGTGTTGCTCACTGAAGATATTGTTTGCTACATATTGGTGAAAGTTTACATTTATGAACGAAGCCCCTACATATGAAATACAATCCATAATCGTACTTTCCATTCTATTATTCTTATAACGTGAAATAAGTACTTACGTAGGTATATTCAAATAAATTTTATTTTCATTCTTTTACAAACAGCTTAAATCTCTTTATTGCGAGTTGAAAGTGTTTGCTTAATATGCCTGATTCTCAAACAGAAAAATATTCTTAGAGTGAATTTTAGATTTGTAAAGCTCGGATTTGTTTGTAGATTTAGTTGAAACAAGCACTTTTATTGTTGCAGTATAACCTTCAGATTTTGATTTTTCTAAAGAATTTACTAAATATTTTTCATGCCATTGTCTGTGAGAAAAACTTATCTACTTCTTGTTTTTCTTCATTTAAATTTTTATCGTTGTATAGAAATTTCTGTGAAGGCTTAGGTCTAGTATTATCTGTGACTATAGAATATAGTTATCTCTGGGGCAGTAGAGTAAAACTACAATTTGTCACCATTTCTTGTCATCCCCAGGATGTTTGTAAATATTCTCAAAATATGTAAAAAATTGCCTAATCATGGTGGTAATATCTTTTTTATAAGAAGATACATGACCAACAATGAAATATTAATGGACTTTTACTATAATTGCATATAATGGCAAGACCCTGATCAAAGTCTAAAGTGAAAATAAATGTTATTATATATACAAAGATACAACTTTAAATTAAAACTTAGTTATTTATATTGACTCACCTACTCATAAATCAGGTCCAGTTGATACATATAATATTTAATACACAATATTGACTCATCGGAAAGACAAATGATAATGGATACTTTCACAGTGCAATATCGAATACAACACGTAAATTATCGCGCTTCAGTGGACACTGAAAATAGACTAGGAAGAAAGAGGCGGGCTTTATCCAATAATAATTCTCACTTGAATCGCTCTATTTGCTCGCCGTCGCACCATCTGATATTGAATATGGATAAAGTGAATTATATTCAGAGTGGCGGTACCGTCGACTCGCAGAGTTTCAGATAAGAGGATTACTTACAACTTATAATTGGTTCTCGCAATTTGAATGAATAAGAGAAAAAAACTCAGCTTTTTGAGTATCTCTCTAGCTCTAAGATAAAAGACACATTTTTGCCGAATAGCGATATTTTTTAGATATTGTTATTAGAATAAATTACATATTGTTGTAATTAAGGTAACAAATATTTAACAAATGTAATTTTATTTTTTAATATTTTTATAGAATAGGCACCTGATGAAAAATTATATATGTATGCATGTGATGGGCATTATAGAATACACTGGTGCCCGTGGAATACATTATATGTTGCCACTCATGAAACCTAAATATCTCATGCCTCCATGTCCTGTAATTTCATTGTTATACCCACACTCTTCAAACTAAAACTAGCTACTTTGCGTGGTACGGTATACTAAGTCTATAGCAAAAACACTGATGGAACCGCGATGTCTATGCAGAGAGACAACTCTAGTAAAATAATATATTACCTACTGATATCTGTTTATTACTAACTTCTGTTACGTTTGCGGATAACAGACAGATGTCACAGTAAGTCTTATTAAAATCTGCTAATTACAATATTAAGAAGTAAGTAATAATTGTAACACCTCTGTTCACAGAAAATAAATAGTAATCTAACCAATTTTTACACGAGTACTTTGAGAAATACTTTGTATAGTCAAGAATTTTAAAAACAATATAAACCAGCGTGCATTATAATTAAAACTGCTGTTAGTCACCACTAATAAATACAAGAACACTAAAATCTTTTGGCAATATATATTTACGTTACTTCAGGAAACCAGCAAAACTTCAAATTCCTAGATTCAGTTTCAAAAGTACTTTCAAATGATACCAGCGATGTAAAACAAATAACTCAAAGGAAGTTAATTCAAAACTGTCTTCACATTTAGTGTGGTTCTTTTTCAAAATTTTCTTTCCTATCTTTTCTGAAATGGGAGTCCATATAAATGCATTTTCTATCACATTTTTTTATAACGCTCCCACGGTCACATAGGATGAGTAGGCAGGCGCTGAGAGCACGGACATGTTTGCTACTAACACAATTACCACTACGCCGCACGTCCTGCAATCTAAAGCCGATTCAATTAACATCGGCTTTTAAGCTCTTGTTGTCCTTGCATGTACGTATTGATATGGATTGCCTTTATAACTTGCATTGAAAGACTTGAAATAAAAAAAAATCTAATACCATTATCATATTTATTGCAAACTTGTTTGCACTTTACATTAAATTTGTCTTTCTGTCCAGTGCATATTGATAGATATGGTACTCGTATATAGATATCTCCTCCCATATCCTCTGTGGTAAATAGTAGAAAAGTGTGTTCCAAATTTAAAAACGGTTGGTTTAGCCTATCGAACACCAAATAGAGAAAAGAAATTTGCACGGTAAATCATCATCTCCTCATCAATCATCTCTTTCTACTATTTAAATAAAGCAACCACTTCACTCGGTATTTGATAACAATAATCTCTTTCTGTATACTAGGACAAAAGTATGTGTCTATAAATATACCCTATGCTAAACCAATAACCGATATTGGATTGCTTGTAATGAAAGCGTCGATGTTTGTCTCCGTGTATGCAGCGGCCGGGCGGTCATGCGTAACAACCTGCAATGCTATTCACTAAAAATCTACCGCAACGCTGCGCCCGCCGACGAGCTCTAGACTGATCAGCCTTGCGAACGACCGTGGCTACAGCGCTGCGGTAATTGGTATTCACTAACGTGTCAAACCTCATCGACGAACTGTAGGCTGTGATAACTGAGGCTGTGCGCACGGACGAGATAGGGCTTGCAACAAAAACCGTAAAATGAAACCGATAACTGTAGAAATATAATATTTTATTGACAAATGGAATGTTTTATTCAGTTTAGAATGTTATTTAAATAAATATTATATAAAATAAACATAAATTTATACATCAAACATTTGATTTTGTTTTTTAATTAAGATTTGTTTGAATACCCTTGCTATTGCCGTAAAATAAACAAATAACACTTATACGTAGGTATTGTAGAAATTATCTTTTTGAAGATAGGCAGCATGGTCTCCGACCTTAGCCTGTTCCAAACGGAACAAACGTACTAAAAAAAAAAATAGTATCTACGTAGAGAGTATTATATTCCTTGTACTTAACATTCCAGAGGCGCACTTTTTGTATTTGTTTATTCTCTTTTAAAAATAATTAATAAAATTAACGTAACTTTACCAACGTTTTATAAGTTTGGATGTATCTATCAAATACGTAAGTAAAATGTGCTTTTTATTTACTTGTACTGTTTTTAAGGTTATATTTTTAGTAACTAAAATAAATGCATATCTCGTAACATGCCATGAAATGAGGTCCCTTCGCAAAGTAGTCGGAGATGCTGATGGATTATATAAAGAATCAGACATGGCTTGTGACAGGACATACATAGAAAAAAGGATTAATTATATTTTTCTATGGAGTATCTTAAATAAATAACTAATTTATAATTTTAGAATTATGTGTCTAATTGGTCTTATTGTTATTTTTAGGTCCACGCCGTCATTTGACTGACAGTATCCCGATGACACTTATCTCCTTCACAATAGCAGCCTCAACTAGAAAGAGAGTAGTCTCGCAAAGATTTGTTGCCACTGAAGAGCACCGAGTAGAGACAGAACAAATTTTGATAGAGAATCAGACAACACTAGTTCATATCTTATAGCTAATGAATGAGATATGACTAAATTAAAGTCAGCCATTGTACGATTTAATTAAAAATTTTTTAAAAAATGTCAAATAATTTTTATTCAATTAAATTTAAAATATTATAAATGGTAATTCTTTATGATTCTACCATCCATTGTGAAGAAGGGGAGAAACCTCAATTTTGGTTTTTAAAATACTAATAGATTTTACAATAATACATTTCTAAAAATATACACTGCCAAACATAACAAGAGTTATTGGAATTATTAGTTAAATCAAGTTCATTATTGAAAATATAAGATTAAATTATGTCATTTAATAGTCATTAGTAATTTTGAAATATAAGTTTCATCTTATATAATTTTCAAATAAAAACACAATTACAATAAAATTTTATAATTATAAACTTGTTTCAATTTCAAATAAATAATTTTTAATGAATATTTTTTTTAATTTCTTACTCCATACTAGTTATAATATGAATTAATTATAATAATTTTAAATTAAAATATACATTTACAACATAATATAATATTAATTTTAATTCACAGGTAGACAAAAATGTAACAATAAAAAAGTATTTGAAAATAGTTTTAAGATATAAGTACAAAAAGTATAGCTAGCTTATTTTCAGACTACAAAATTTTCTTTTGTGCTTCTTCATTTTGTATAGATGATGTAACTTATGTATCATATTATCAGCATATCACAAACAATACAGCAATACACTACTATGTTGTGGCTGTCCAAGGGTTTGTGTCATGCTATAAATGAGTTTCAAAATCACCTGAAAAAAAACAAGTAATGTTAATTATTTTTAATTAGCCAACATAGCCAATCCTGAATTTATGTGTGTCATGTTTTTAAAACTATGATTTTGAAACAATTTTTTATAATAGTTTCAACCTGAATGCTAAATTTAAATTTAACAAAAATTAATTGACATGAATTAATAATTTACTACATGTTTAACTAAGTTGGTTTCTTTCTAACATATTAGACATAGTTATTTTTATACAAAACCAGAGGCCACTAAGCTTATGGATCATAATGGGAAACGGTTGATCCATGAATATTTGTAACACCAGAAGTATTATTATGCATACTAGAACTAGCTAGTTGTTCCCTACACAAACATCTGCTGACACAATTAAGCTTGTCTCAATAAAATAAACAAGTGCACACAATCACTGCAAAGTATTCTTTTTCCTGCTTTAAATTTATTTATGTACCTAATACCATCAATTAATAAAATTTAAGTTACAAACCTTTAGCTTTAACAACTCTCTGGAACAGGCATACATGGTGACAATTCTTTTTCTAACATATTGATTAATTCTTCAGAAAGTCGGTAATGATGAATATAATCCACATCACATAAAGTTGTTGATTGTCGGCATTTCTTACAATCATTTTCTATTTTAGCTTCTTTCAACAAATGGGTCATTACACATAAACGGGCAGCAATCGTTTTTAAACACAAATTGATAATTTCAATACATTTAATAATCACAGAATTCAAGAAACAAATAAATATATTAGATGAATACTATGCAAACAGCAGAAAACAAAGCTTTTGAGCAAATAGCGTAGAAAACAAAGCTATTTGACATAAGAAATCGAGGCTGTAGGCTAGGCTGTCGGCGAAGGCGAGGCTGATTTTTGTTAGTGAATACCAAATACTATGGCAAAATGTCAAATCGCACAGCCTTGAGTAGTTCCCGTTTATGCCGCTCGTCTTTGAGCTCGTCTTTGGGCGCTAGTGTCGCGTCTTAAGAATTAGTGAATACCATTTCAATATTTCATCGCTGCGTCAAGGCTGATGTCTAGGCTGTTTGCTTAGAGAATAGCACTACTGATGTCCAATTGATTTAACGTCCGCACTCCATCCACTACTTGTGTTATAAAATGAAATTAATATAAATAGAGTATTCTTCATATATATTAGAAATTATTATACTGAAGAGATAGAAACTAACTCTTTTTAAATTATCCCCGCTAATTTTATTCTTTTTTGTAGAAATCATAAATAATTATATATACTTAGTCAAGGTACATCCATATTATAAATATGATAATGAGTTTGTTTGTTAGGCTTTGGCATCTTAATCGCTCAATCATAATGATGTTTATTTTATACATTGATATTTAACTTTTATATAATTTTGTTACTTTCTAATGGATGATAAATTTTGAAAAAAACTAAATTATTATAGAAAATGTATATTACCCACAAATAAAAAACAATTGCTTATGTAATTTCTATAAAACCTCTATAGAATTCAATTAAATCCTATCTAATACTTTATTCAAAAGTATCAATACTTATCTACGAAATATCAATACTTATTTGTCCGTTCGGATTGGGTATTTGAATTCTAATGATAGCAGATCGCGCTTGTTGACCCGTTATCCATTTGAATTTGTTGTCTTCTCGGAAATACGAGTGTTTCTTACTCAGTGTTACTAAGTTGTTTGCTTGTTCAGTGTGCTTCTTTCTTGATATAAATCAGTTTTATATAATAATTTCATTTATTAAATAGACAATGTACTAATAAGTATCTTTAATTCGTCTTTTGTACTCTGTTTCATAATTGGATAAACATATCGAATCAAAATTAGGGAAGAAAATATATTATTATGTTTTTTTTAAATAAATCTTCCAGGACAACATGTCATGCAGTGGCATAATAAGTAAGATACAACCATATCATACTTGAGAGAAATTTACAAATTTATAAGTTTTGTATAAGATACGAAGTAACGAAAAGTAATTTTCTATTATAATATTATTTATTAAATTTTATGAATAAATAATGTAATAAAAACTACTTACTTAATATGTATGCATTTCATATAAACTTTAAAGTTAGTACAATTTATATTGAAACACATATGAAATAGTTAAGTAGGTATTTAGATATATACATTTGAAAACTCTTAATTTAATACTATTTATTCTAATATTATTTACCAAACTAGTATTTTATTTAAACATCTATAAAAGTATTGACATGAACAACTTAAAACATGAAAAGAAAAACTCGTTTGTAACTATAATAGAGGAAAGTAAATTAAGGCCCACATGAAACTGCTATTAAACACTGGATTAAGGGCCTTTGAGATAAAACCTCTCTTGACATGAGGTTTTCTGTAACATCTACATTCAGAAGTTGTCGACCGCAGTCCACCACGGTCACACTGAAACCTATTTGCTGGACCGACATTATCGGCCGCGGGAAAATTTCTACAATCTCTGGCCCTTTGTGTCCGCTACTGGGCATGACATGTCAATTACGTTATCCTGTAGGTATGCTTTTACTGTTGATACAAACACATCATATCCATCCAGATAAGTATGTAGTTACCTTCCTATCACTCAGATAATTTTATGTTATGTATCTAATAATTATAAATATGAAAATTTAATAAAATATTTAGACGTTTAACGTATTCATACCAAAAAGTTACTACTTAGAACAATTTATATTTTAAAACTTCAAATATTGACTGACGCACAATATCGGAAACCCGATCCCAAGTAAAGTGATAAATAAATGAAGAAGAAGAAAGGTTTAAAATTACCTTTACATTTTATTTAATCGGTTAAGTGTGAGTAGATCTAAGATTTCTTTAATTAAAGGACAGAAAACAAAAAAAGAAATAAAAGATTATAAATTGAAAATTCTCTTTTATTTCTCTTTTAACTTTTTTATTATTTCTGTGTATTTTATCTTATGTCTGATATTCATGTTAAAATATAGATAAGGAAAAAAATATTTCACTAAGATACAAATAACAATATGACTGTCGTGTATCATGCTCTTATATATTCTCTCATATATTTGTAATAAATATCTATAGCAAAGATCTACCCTATTGTAAATGTGGGTATTTTCAACGACAAGGACAGGACATAACACGTCCACTAGTCACTGCGCCGCTCTTTGAGTGACATCTTATTTCCTTCGTGTGACACTAGCGCCATCCGTATAATAAAACCGAACTACTCTATTGAATTTTGCAGGAAATCCTGACATTTGACATTGTGATCAATGTTTTAGATGTGTAGATTTTGTAACTGAAAATGTGTGCCCCAAATTCAAAGAATAGAGCACTTGATTGTTAATATAATATATAGGACTGAATATCATGCATTATGGAGACTAATAATATTAACAGACTTTGTAAAAGACGAACAGAGCTATTCAATTTTATTTTTTATCAGTCAAATGTATATGTATATTGCATAATTCGTAACGATTTTAATGAAAACTTTTGTAAAGACATAATTATTTTCATATAGTATTTGGATCATGCTCTTGGATAAAACTACTCATACCTATCCTCACTACATCTTGTATATATAGCGATCCATAAATTGTAACAGATTTTTTATATAAACACTATAATTCTAAATATTAAGGAGCGTCGTTCAGCATAAGAAACTGTTATTACAGGAACAGGTTAATGTTTGTGGCAAATGGCTTCACAGACTGTTGAGTAACAAGCACTCTGCAATATCTACGTATATCAACACTAGAGCGACTCTAAGATTGGATTTCCCTGGATTAATATGTAACTAAGACGCAAATTCATGTAAGATTCAGTTTTGTAGTAGATATAGTGTTTCAGAAAGCTGAAGGATTTTTACAATTGACTTCAAAAATTATTAAATAAAATAAAGAATTTGCAAAGACTTTATTACCTATTTGAAATTACAAATAAAGGCATATTTACATTACATTAGGTTACTGTTAAGGGCCTGTAATTGTAGTGAAAGTTAGCCTTCACAGCATTAGTATCTATATAAACCTAGTTAGTAGTATCTTTATAAACCTAGAATTTATAGAGTTTATATAACTTAATGTAAAATTTTAATACAAATATAATCAAAAATTTCAAAGAAATGAATAAACCTGAATTCAAACAATAAAAATCAGTAACGGTTTAGCACTGCACCAAAATACTCAAAACCTAAAACAAATCAAAAGTCTTGAGTTGGAATTCATCTTAACAAGTGGAGATTCTTATTTAGATATACTAGCAGCTATAATGTGTAAAACACGATACAAATTGCATTAACACACGTTCATTACACTAATTAATCTATTAATATGTGCAAAGGTTTCCTGACTGCGACTGTGCGTATAAAATATACCGTCGCCATAGGCCCTAAATTTTAAATCAGTAGATTATACACACTTACTGATTTAAAATATACTTACAGTGTTTTCGCGTCTGTGACAATATAAATATTCCAGTTCTTTTAAAGTTAATGCGCCTCCGACGCCTGTAACACTTAATGTAAATCTGCCTTTAGTTACGCCGCTATCTCCATCAAAGCATAAGCGTCAACGTACAAAATATAAAAATTCAATTTTTATCACTCGACATGATCATTTCTATCCAATTTCCTCAGTATTACAGTGCCTGTGACA